CTGTGTTCATCCAGCCCTGCACCTTGTTGTCTCAGTATCAGGAGCATTGTTTTTCTTTGTTTATGTTAATAGACTTGGGTGTGCAGAACACAATTTCAAGATTTGCAACTGACAGAACACAGGGAAGCATTGTGAACTCTGAAGAGGATATAGATTGGGTTGAGGTATGGGTGAACACGTGCCAGAGGAAATTTAATGCAAAAAAGTACAAAATGATACATTTTGGCAAGAATAGTAAATGGTACCATTCTAATGGTGGGGGGAGGGGGTTGTGTGCAGGAAAAAAGGATACTGGCAACTTATGTGCACAAATCAATGAAGATGGCATGACAGGTTGAGAAAACAGGTTGATAAAGCAGAGATAGTAGGAACTGCAGATGCTGGAGAATCTGAGATTACAAGGTGTAGAGCTGGATGAACACAGGCCAAGCAGCATCAGAGGAGCAGGAAAGCTGACGTTTCAGGCCTAGACCCTTCTTGAGATTTTGGGCTTTGTTAATAGAGGTAGAGAGTACAAAAGCAGGGAGGTTGCTGTTGGCCTTTAGGGAATACAAGCCTGGCCTCAACCAGAGCTCTGTATCCAATTCTGGGCACCAGGCTTTGAAAAGTATGTGAGGGCCTTAGGGATGGTGCAGAATAGATCTACAAGAATGAGTCTATGGATGAGAGACTTCTGTACAGTGGATAGATAGGGCAAACTGGAGATGTTCATCTTACAGAAGAAACGTTTGAGTGAAGATTTGATGGGGGCTTCCAAAATCAAGAAGCATCTGGAGAAAATAGATATGGAGATGTTGTTCCCAATAGCAGAAGGCTCAAGGACCAAAGGGCCAAGGTGAATGGCATAAAAATGAGGAAAACCTTTGATTTTATGCAAGATGTGGTAAGGATTTGACATGCACTTATTGAGAGTAACAGAGAGGCAGATTCAATTAAAAGTTTTGAAAGGGATAAACACACAAAGAGAAGAGAAAATTCAAGTCTATGAAGAAAGGGGTAATGTGGGAGTA